GTCAGTCGACCAACATTCGGAATAATCTCCTCTGAAACGCCGAGTGATTCTACGGGATGCTTCACAGAGTGTTTTCGGTGGTGGAACTTCTTGACTTCATCCCTTGATTAAAAGTTCATCGGGAGCTGTTCGAAGCTCCACTGACCGGTAGATTACCTCTACCGGTTGTAGAAATACTGTATCACCCTTCGAACAACACGCAGCACGCCCAATCCGAGGAAAATGTTGGATTACCGAAATCAGAGCCCCGAGGCGCGCTTCGTGAAGGTGGGACGAGAGAGTTACAAGAGGGTGAAAAAGGCGGCGTCTCTTGCGTGGATACGAACAGCCCGCGTCGCCGTGCGTGTGAGGCACGTGGGGTCCACGTTCCTGTCGTCCACAGGCCTGAAGCCCGCAAACCGCCGTCGTACCGCCGCATCCTCCGTTCCATGCGCCACCTCCGCCGTTCCATGCGCAACCTTCCCCGTCACAAGCCCAAGCCGCCATGATCCTCCCCAGGCCGCGGCAGCAGCATCGTCGGAGTGCAGCGCAAAGCAGCGCCGCTGCGGCCTTCCGCCGAGTCCTTTCCCCGCCGTCGTTCCGCCGCATTCGTCGCGTTTCTTCGTCGCGTTCCGTCGGAGCATGAGAGGGTGGAAGGCCGTCTTTGGGTTGCGAAAACCTTCTTCGTCCGGGGCGACTACACGAAGTTACTCCCCTCACTCCACCGCCTGTTCCGCCTCCTCCGCCTCTGCCTCCGCCGCAGCCAATCGCGCTGCCACCAATTCCGCCGCCGCCTCTCGCGCCGCTACTAGCGCTTGCGCCGTGTTCTGCCCCTCTGCCCCCGTTGCCCCTGTGGACTCCCCTCTCGCCGCATCTGCCGCTTCCTCTGCATCCTCTGCCGCATCCGCCGGTGCTAACCAATCCGCTCCTTCCTCGTCACCTGCCGCCGGCGTCTCCGCGTGTTCCTCGTTAACTAGAAATGCTTGCGAGAATTCTCAGAAACCAGCCTCTTCCGCTCCTCCGTTTCTCGCCCCTAATAGTCACGCTGATTTGCGTGCCGGCCCCACCCCCGCCGCCACTTCCGCCGCGATTGCGGCACTCGCTCCGCCTGCTTCCGTAAAGGCCGATTCTCACGCCGATTCTCACGCCGATTCTCACGTCAATTCTCTCGCCGATTGTCGCGCGGAGGGCTCCTCGTCGTGGAAGCGCGCCATGTCGATAGCGATCCCCGCATGCGACGGCGACGACGAGGCGCAGGGGGCGGGGGAGGACGAGCGGGGAGAGGCGCAGGAACCGGGGGGCGGAGAGGCGGAAGAAATGGCGGAGTCGAATGGCCTTAGTGGCGGCGCGCCGGATTTTGCGGTGGACATTGATTCGCTGTGGGAAGCGGCGGCGGCGGCGGAGCTCGAGGCGGAAGAGCGAGCGGCTACGGCGGCGGCGATAGCGGCGGCATCCGCGGCGGCTGGAGCGAAGCGATGGCGAGAAAGCTGGAAAGCGCTAACGCCTCGGTCAAATGTTTCGGCGCACAAAACTCCGATCTCTGACATTTCTGGCAGCGCGGCGCCAATGGAAACGCCCGTACTCACGCCGAGAGGGTTGGTTCTCGAACCTAAAAAGGTTTGGGGCGCGCTGGCGGAAAGTGTGGCGTCGGCGCTGGCGGATAACCTAAGCGGGGCGGAGCTGGCGGACGGCGTAGCGGGGCTGGCGGCGCCGACAACTCCGCGTTTATCCTTCCGCCAGTGGAGGTCCGGCTCAGAGTCGACCCGACCTTGCGCGCGCGGTATCGCGGAAGAGGAGTTTGCGGAAATGCCCCGCAATTGGTTGGAAAACGCTTGGAGTGGCGGAAATACAGGTTCCGCCGTGAGTCCCCCGCCTCCTTCCACCCCTCGGTTCCTCTCCGCTCTGCGCTCGTCTTTCAGGCGCTCTGCTTCTGACGCTGTGGTCGTCGCGGGTTCGAATCCTAGCGGCAGCGAAATCCCTGTCGTAAGGGATCCTGTTACTGTTACGGTAACTGTCACAGCTGGTACAATCTCAACGAAGATTCCATGCCACAGCCCAGCAGAAGCATCATCAGCATCGGGATTATCACCAGCAGCAATTCCGGCTCATAAATCCGTTTCATGTGGTTCCCTTTATGAGCAACATCGCGACACTGTACAGCGCAGCTCCGTGGAGTGCAGCAGTGTAGTTCATTCTAGACGAACCACGACTAGCAACCCATCTACACTCCGAGGCAGGGTCAAACCTTCCAAAAGTGCCAACAGCATCGACGTAAAAACTACCCGTAATCATCACCTGACCGCTTCAAATTCCTCCTCGTCTACTCCATCACTTAGGGCCCGCCGAGGCCTTCCTCCCTTTGAAAACCTCTGTACCGAGGAAGAACAGCCAGGTAAGGCAAGGCAGCCGAACCTGCTGGCTCGGAATGGCAACAGTGCTCCTGATTTGCAGGTTCTTGAGTTTGCTCAGGTTTCTTCCAACCTGCCCGGCAGCAGCAAAAGGGTGCCTGAATTGTCTTGGGGGCAGCTCTCTGAGCTTGCAGCGGGCAGGGAGAAAAGGGACAGGCCTGTGATGAGCGGGGGTGCGATGAGTGGGGGTGCGGTGGAAGAGGGTGCAGTGCAGGATGGTGTGGTGGAGTGGTGTGCGATGGAGGAAGATGCATGGGAGGAGCCAGAGAGCCCTGTAACGGTCCCTGCTTGCTCCTTGTGTGGAGTAGGGGGATTCAAAGCCCCTCCTTTGGCCCAGCAGGATCGTCAGAAGATATGGCGCATACAGCAGCAGGGGAGGGTACAGTGGCAGCAGCAGCAGCAGCAGCAACAGAAGCAGCAGCAGCAGAGGCAACGGCAGCGACCAGAGGGGGCCAGAGAACAGCAAGAGAAGGAAGGAGAGCAGGAGGAGGAACATGAGGAGGAGGAGGAGGAGGAGCATCATGATCTAGTTGAGAAGCAGCCTGGTTGCACAGCAGGGATAGGTTGTGCTCCCTTTCCAATAAGCCGGAATACTATCAGCCGCCAGGTAAGAAACCGCAGCAGGCGGTTCAATAGGAGCAACAGCTGCAGCAGCAGCGTCAGCATCGGCAGCAGCAGCAACTGCTTACACTTGAGTATGTGTAACTGCGGAAACAGTGGTAGGTTGTTTGGCAGGAGTGATAGCAATAGCAGCTGCAGCAGCACGAGCAGCAGCAGCAGCAGCAGCAGCAACCTGGTTCCATGCAGCACCAGGACGCATTAATGATACTTCTGAGAATCCCCAAATAGAGTGTGCACAGAGGGACGATGATGAGAGGTTAGCAGACTTCAAGCTGCGTTCGAGCGGGCAGGTCACACCGAGGGGAGCAGGCAGGGGTCAGTTGGACAGGATGGGAAGTGGTGGTGGTGGTGGCAGTGGTGGTGGCAGTGGTGGTGGCAGTGGGGCAGCCACTGTGGTTCGGTATGTGCCACGGTTTGGCAGGCACAGGCAGCAGAGGTTGGTAGTGAGGGGGGGGGCACGAGACATGGTGGGTGTGGGAGCAAGGTAATGCCGAAGGGCTGTGATTGCCTGCCAGGGTACAGAGAAATAGGTAGACTGCAGCATTGCTATCAGGTCGTCCTGTATTTATGATTGTGCTTTACAAGAGCGTTTATTTGAGAATTATGCTTCACACTTCTCCTGATTAGTCTTTCAAAGATTCAGGGCTCATTTTGATTCAACCCAGCACACTCCACTCAAATCAATAGGTACACCCAAGTGTGAATGAGTGCAGAATGATTGACAGTACCAAAACTCTGCCTGTGGTATCTGCTCCAATGCCATAACAAATTGCGTTCGTAAGCAACGTTTTATATAATGACCTGACCAGCATTCGTATAACAAGAGCGAGCAACAACTTTGTCAGAAAAACAGCAACAGCCTATACAGGATAAACCCCCCAGCAAGGGCCACATAAAATCCAACCACCCACCTCAAAAGGTACTGGCAGCAACAAGCACCAGCAACCTCTCTGCACCAAAAACCCTTGCATGTATCCTCACCTCAATCCACTGTCTCCCAGTCCCAGCCAGATGAACAAACGGAGTGAAAAGTAAGCGCAGTGCATGCTGCAGGCAGCTGGCATAGCTCCCAGCAAGTGGACTTGTATGCCCCTTGAAAGTCTGTTGTTGAAGGCCCTGCTTAGCTACAGCCAGGCTTGGCCAAGGCGAGATGAAGTTTGAGAGTTGGAAGGCAATGACTGGGACTCAAGCTGGCAAAGAGCTGCCACCATGCCTCTCTCATGCATTGCCTCCACTCCTCCATGCCTCCTTCACTTTTGAGACTTCTCACAAGTCCTCCATGCCTCCACCATAGCCACCCCAACAACAACACTTGATTGACTCACATTGCTGAGCTGCCATGTGTGAATCCGGCCTCCTCGCAACCTGCACCTATGGCTCCTCATTCAGCTGCAGCAGAAACAGACCCGGCAACACCCACTGTGACCCTGCCGCTGAAGCTGCCACCAACGTCACCACTACTGCCGCAAAAAGCATGCCGGCCACCTGACAGCCTCCCTCTATGGCTCCTCATTCAGCTGTAGCAGGAACAGACCCGGCAGCACCCACAGAGCTCCTGCCGCTGTCACCGTGACCATCACTGCTACTGCTGGTGCTGGAGAGATGAGCAGCGGCTACCATGACACCCACGCCTACTGTGACGGCAGCTCCCACCCCCAGCGCCTTCCAGATCAAGTTCCACCTCCGCCTGTGCGCCCTCATGTGCTCTGAAGGGGGGAGAAAGGAATAGGAAAGATGTCCCACAGCGGAATGAGAGAAGCTAGAGACATGCATGCAAGGGAAAGGGGAAGCACACAAATTGGCGCAAAAGAACGGGTCTATTGTAATGTTAAAAGGTGGTCATAGACGATCTTAGACGGTCGTAGACTATACTGACGATGATAGAGGACTGTAAACCGTCACGACATGAGGGCCCAGCATGAGAAATGGTGCAGCTATTAACAAGAGGCGGCAACAATGCAGAACATGAAAGAGGTCGTGTGTTCAAGTAGCCTAGAAAGATCCTTTCAGCTTGTCCTCCTTACCAATGGCTTCGTTATTCTTCTGAGCCATCTCCTGGTTCATCCTCTCCCAGTATTGAAGCTTATCTCGCAACCGCGATACCTCCGCCTCTTTCCGCGCCACCAGATCCGCTTGCTGCTTATCCGATATCAAATGCTCCTCGCCTCGCTTCATCGCAGCAGCAACCGCTCTCGACAATGCAGCTTCCACATCCACGCTCCCAGGTGCATCTGCTTCCACACTGACTGGGATCCCAGTCACATCTGTTTCTGCACCGACACTTCCAGTCGCATCTGCTTCCGTCGGAATGTCTTGCGATCCGTCAGCAGATCTCGACCTGGCATCCTCGTTTCCAGCTTCCTCGATGCCAGCCGTCCTGCTTTCGTTCCCCCCTTGAGCATCACCAGATCCCGCCGGACTGAGAACGATCAGAGCAGCTTCGTCGAGTGCTTTCTGCGCGGCTGCGACCGCGGCTCGCACGCCGTCCAGCCGTTTCGTGCAGGCGGACAGCGCTTCCTCCGCTTCTGCTCGCCTTCTGGACTCTTCCTGGATTCGCGCGACGAGGTCGCGGTACGAGGTTCGCCGGCCGCGAGTAGGAGCGGCTCGGCTGCTACCGTTGATGGTGATGGTGGGAGCGTTTTGGAAATCCTCGTCGCTGCTGAGATATTCTGCAAAGAGTGGAACGGGAAAACGATAAGATCCGATCAGATTTGACAATGTACGCTAGTCGGCGTGCGGCGAATCGGGGGATGGAACAAAATAGCACATCCGCAAAAATGCAACCCGAAAATGTAGGGCTACAGCGAGGTAATCTCTGTAAAAAAAGACTTAAAGGCAGGGTCTCAAGTGACCAAGTGCTTTGCAGTCGATGAAAAACGGGCCTGTCTAATTGGTGTACAAATTTGGGGCCAAAGTTTTGACAAGTCGAGACTCTCCAAAGAGCCCACGTTTCGCCCAAGTGCTTTGCAGTTGCACGGCCAACCCTTACATGAGACCCTGGCTTTAAGCCTACCTTGGCGAACGCAAAAAACATCAATGAACGAAAGGAGGGCGAGGCTAAGAACACCGACCTTCTAGCCCGTCCTCCGCCGCGTCAAAGAAATCCTCGTTAGAAGATCCGGTCCTGGTAACTTCAGCCGAGTGGAACTCCTCGTCGTCGCTATCTCCGTGTGGCCGACCGCCATTAGCCGGATGATGAAAGTTAGCCACTCCGTTTCCTTGATGACAGTTTACGTGACGACCGTTTTCGCGACCGTTAATGCGGCCGTTCATGCGTGCTGCCGAGGGTTTGACCCGGTAAGTGGCTGGTTTCTCCGCTGCAGATCGCCAGTCCGTCTCGCCTGGGGTCATCGGACACACGGCTCCAGCCATGCGCTGGTTCACGTAATCTCACCCTAAAAGCAGGCTAACACTAGAGGAATACGTAAGCTTATAAGCGTCGAAATAAAGGCCTCTAATGGTCCACTCGATCGATCAAACTAATGACCTAACCGCCAGTCTGGTTTTAGCAAAACGGTGTTGATGAGTGCCTGAAAGAAACCTACAGGGTTGCCGCTGCGTCACTCAGGCGGTGCGCGGAAAGCACATGCACAAAAGCTACTTGGCGACCTTCTGGAAAGGAAAACCTGAAAAGAAGGTGAACGAGCGATTCTGACTTGCTCGCTTCTCCGATTCGCTTTCATGTGTTTATGTGCTTTCCTTGTGCTTTGTGGTTTGACTTCTTGGGGTTGCAGATTCTTTCTATCCGCATGGGACGGCCAGTCTCAAAATAACACATCAGACTCGCAACGATGTGGTGAGGTACGGTTGCCTCTGTTTTGAAGTGTTGAAGATTGGGTTTAGTGTGATGCTTGTTGCCTGATTGACAGAAGGAAGAGTTTGAAGGGTGTGCGGTAATTTTATGAAAGCTTCGCTTCCACGTCAACTCCAACAAGGCATAGTTATACGGTCTCGGTTGGCTGGCAGAATCGAGGGAATGTTGACAGGATGAGCCCCCATTGTAAACCTGAGATTCTGCCCGCGGGCAGTCGGATATTGTTTCACATCTACGTATTTTGATTGAAAAACCTGAACCTGGCAGAGATAATTGTTAGCTTGCTGGAATAAATGTAAGCTTTGCTCAACGAATGGTCAAGTGTTGTTCCTTCCCCCTTGACATTTGCTTTTCTGTTCTTTCCCCTTGACTCTTTCCCCTTGGTACAGTAGATGCTTGGTGGGGTGGTCCCCGCAAATGAGGGGAACATCCGTGCCAGCACACTCAATCTGGCCAACCCGAAGATAGCTCATGAAATGGCGGGAATTAACCTTCTATTTTGAACCACTGGTCCGCACACACGTCACAACCTCCGCTATCAGATCTGACGGCCTCCACGCTTTTGGCGGACCAGAGGGCCCAGGCCTGGTCGAGAAAACATCACCCAGCAAATCGCTTGGAGGAAGCAGCATCGACGGCTGGAAACAAATTTCTTCCGAAGGCTGCAATCTCACCATGTGTCGCCCTCTGAACAGCCTCCGCACTCATGCAAGCCTTGTCTGACGCATAATGCCCGTCACCAGCTGCAATCCTCCTATTTCCCAAGAATTCGATTGGAAATTCGCGCCGCATTTCTTCAGCCATGGCGTCTCTCACACACCTCCGGATGCTCGCGCTTTTCAGCTCAGCCTCCTTATTAACGACCAGGCCTTCTAATTCGGTAGACTTTGGAACCGGGTGCTCCGTAATTGTACACGTTCACGTGCCTTCCCGACGTTTGAAGATTGAATTTCCGAAGTTCCCGCTGCAATGGCTTCCGAACAGACGCGCAGATCAATGGCGCAGGAGGAGGTGGAGCCCTACATGAAGAAGGAAGACCTTACACAGTTGAGCATTGCCATTTAACGTTTCTTTTTTCTCCCTGCAATTATTCCCTGGGTTGATACTATCGCCAAAATCCTCTATTATGGTTACAGAAGCATGCTGATTCCCGAGAGTACAAGCAAGAGCAGACTATGGCGCAGAAAGGACAGGAGGTCACGGCAGCGCGAGGCAAGGAAGAACTCCCAGCATCGTAAGAGTTCCCGTGATCCCAGCATCACATGTACAGCTCACGTCTTCGTCGTCGCCTATGGCGCACTTGAATCGTTCTGGTCCTTCGTTGCCAACAGAAAACTGGTCCATTTTTGGCCAATCTTTGTCAATGCCCCTGCTACCAGACACTCCAGGCTCCAGCACTGATTCTTCCCAAGTTTTGTCTTTATGATCGTCCAGGCACGAAGACGCGCTGAAGCGCGGCGAGGAAGCCCTTACGAGCACCGAGGGTTCCGCCTCTGGCGGTGGGTTCTTCGCGCCTCTGAAAGACCTCGCCTCGCGGTTTATGGGCCACGCGGCTCCTGAGACCGAGGAAGCTTTTCAGACCGGATTGGACATTCCGATTAACACACAGGATGTGCCCGCGGCTGAGACGTCTCAAAAGATCGTCACACAGGATGAGCCCGCCGCTGGTGACGTGTCGACTAATAGCCAGGCTGCACGTGGCGTCCACGTGGACACGGCGGAGGGCGGGTCGACGATTGGATCGGGTCGAGAGGAGGCAGTTGGGGAGTTTCCGCAGCAAGAGAGGGAGCGGAGTGCAGAGATGGCGAAGGAGAGTGCTAAGGAGGAAGCACGTAAGGCGACTGAAGAGGCGAAGGAGCACGCTGCGAGCGGATGGGACGCCGCGAAACGCGGCGTTGCGGAGACTTCGGAGTCAATCAAGCAGTCGGCGGAGGAAGCTTCAGAGAAATTCAAGCAACCAGCGGCGCGCGAGCCGAGTGAAGATGTGAGCCGGAAAGACGATGAGACTGCTGCTGCGTCGGAGCGCGTTGCGCGAGAGGAGCCGCGGAAGGCGGCGGAAGGTGCAGCGGTGGCGGAGAGGGAAGCGGAGGATGCGCGTGCAGGGGTGGCGGCGGGGATTGAGGAGTCGAAGGGGAAGGCGGCACAGGCGCGAGAGGAGGCGGAAAAGCAGGCGGAGGAAGGCGCGCAGGGAGTGAAGGAGATTGCGCGGGAGGCACAGGCGGAGGCGCAGGCGGAGGGAGAGAAGGCGCAAGGATCGTTCGAGTCGATGGCGGAGCGCGCGCGGGGGGTGATGGAGCGCACGCTCGAAGGCATTCAGGAGACCCTCGAGGCCGCGCGCGAGCGGTCCGCGCGGGCGGGGGAAACGGCGGAGCAGGCGGGCGAGACTGCGAGGGAGGCCGGGCGGGAGGCATATGAGAGGGGGAAGGGTTTTGCGACAGAGACCAAGGACGCGGCGGTGGTGAGCCTGCTACATGTTTTTCTCCTCTGTCCTTCCCTTTCCTTCCCTTATCTTTTTCCTTTCTTTTCTTCTCGTTTTTTTTTTTTCCCCTCTATTCGCGTTCGCGTTCGTGTTTCCGTGAGCTGGGGCTTCGACACGTGCGTGAGCGAGTCATTGCGAGTTTGTGCGAGTCTGCGAGCTTGCATGACGGGATCAGCGCGGCAGTATCTGTTGTCCACATACTTGCAGGAGAACCTCGAGGCGGCGGAAACGGTGACCAGGTGACTCCTGAGTTTGACTCAAAAGTCGATCAGTGCGTGAGTCGGTTAGTCAGTGAGTCAGTGCCTCAGTGCGCAGCAGTATCTGTTGTTCACATACTTGCAGGAGAACCTCGAGGCGGCGGGCACGGTCACGGCGAGAGGGCTGGGCAAGGCGGCTGGCACGGTGGAAGGAGCGGCAGAGGCGGTTGGCGAGAGTGCCAAGGAAGCGTATGTTTGGCTTTACTGCCAGTGGTGATCTGAAGCGTGCAATGCAAGTTGTGTGACATTTTTATTTGTCGATTACCATTCGTGGATTGTTTGTTTTGGTTCTTCGTAATCTTGGTCGTTGCATTACGTTGGGGTCTTTGCATTCCCTTCTAATCCCCTTTCAGCATCCCCTTTCAGCGTCTCCGCTTTTTTCAGCATCCCCCTCCCTATCCCCTTACTTTTCCCCTTTCCCTTTTCGCTCTTTTCAGAGTCTCCGCGGCAGCAGAGCGCACGGCGGAGGGCATCGAGTCTGCGCAGGAGGGAGCGCGGGGCGCGTACGATCGCACGGTGGAGAACGTGTCCGCGTCCGCCGCTGGCGCGCACGATCGCACGGCGGAAGGCCTCGAGTCCGCGCAGGAGGGCATTGCATCCGCGGAGGAGGGCGCGAAGGACGCGTACGAGCGCACGGCGGAAAACATCTCCGCCTCCGCCGCTGGCGCGCGCGACACTGGCGCAGCTGCGACGGGCACCGTCGTGGGTGCAGTTGGGCAGATCGTGCACTCGTTTGCGGAGATGCTAGGCGTTGCGGGGAAACACGAAGTGGCGGAAGCGCCACCAGCGGATGCGCCACCAGCGGAAGCGCCAGCGCTGCAGCGCCCGCTTGCTGCGGACGTGAATGGTAGCGGAGAGCGTTCCGCCGCCCATGAGCCCTACCGCGCGCCTGCCAGCCTCTCCGCGCACAGATACGCGGAAAAAGACCAGCAGGAGGGGGGAGGTGGGGCAAGTGGCGGAGGGGACGCGGGGGAAGCGGAAAGGCGCGCGGGTAGGGCAAGCGCGGGGAAGGAGAAGGGGGCAATGGAGCCGGGCCTGGGTGGGGGTGTGCGCTATCATCCTGAGCCCAGTGCTGATCTGGGGGGTTCTGGTTTGAGCGCCACGTTTGCTGCTGGGAGCAAGGCGGATGTTCCACAGAACTACCCTCACACCAGCCAGGAGAAGCGCGAAGAATCTTCTGCAAGGGGTGCTGATGTTGCCGCCACTGCTGGTGGTGGTGCTGTTGAGAGTGGTAAGAGTGGTACTACCAGTGGTTTACATGGTATTACCAGTGGTTCACATGGTGCTGGTGCTACCGCAGAGGAATCTGGCAGTGGGCATGGTGGGGGTGATGGAACGGCGGCCACTGAAACAGCAGCAGGCAGATCCGCAGTGAAATCGCCTTCCTCTGATGAACGCGGCGTGTTTGGCGGCGGTGGTGTCCCTGGCGCCAGGAGCGTCCCCTGGGACCAGGTCAGCGTGGGGGGAGGCGTGGATGAGAAAGGGGTGGACAGGAGGCAGCAGGTGGAGATGCTTAAAGGGGGGGCGAGGGAGCCCCTTTGTAGAATCACAAAGGCTGTGATGGATAAGACGGGGATTGAGACTGTGGAGCCTAAGCACCGGATCGCCAAGGAGAACATAATGACACCTAAAATTGCCGGCCGGAGGGAGGAGCTGGGGATTGGTGGGGCGGCAGGGGAGGGCGGGAAGGGGGAGGCGGAGGAGGAGAGGGGGTAGCAGAAGCGGAAGGGGCAGGGGGAGGCGCAGGGGGAAGGGGAGAGGAAGGGGAGGAGGGAGTGGGAGGGGGAGGGGGAGGTTGGGTGAGTGAGTTGGTGAACCGGGCGCACATGGGGGATTTGGTGGAGCAGGCTAAGGTGCGGCGGCAGAGTGTGAAGCATGCTGGGGTGTTGGAGTCAGTTGCAACGGCTGCTGAACATGTGAAGGATGCCATGGTGGGGAGGAGGAGTGTGAGAGGGAAGGGGGATGTGGAGAGTGCTAAGATGGCTGATCCTGAGCTGGGAAGGCTGGTGAAGGAAGCAAAGCAGAAGGAGCAGTAAGGAGGAAAAAGCACTGGTGGCAGATGGGAGTGGAAAATCGGCCACAACTGCTACAACTGAGCATGTGGGAGGAGGAGGATGTGGAGAGTGGGGAAGATGGCTGTTAGGGGGCGGGGAGAGGTTGGTGAAAGAATCAACGCGGAAGGAGCAGTAAGGAGAGATGCAGCGAGGATGAGGCGCGTGGCAAAGCAGAGTGCGAGAGGGTCGTCAGGAAAGTCATGTTGCCTGTGGTAGCCAGGGAAGGAGCAGAGTATGCAGATGTAGTCTTCCATTTGTATAATGTGTCTATAATGTACATAATTTCATTTCTGAAACAGAATCTACACAACGGGTATCTGCCTTAGTGTTACGTCATGTCTAAACGATATTCCTAAAAAGGAAATTCATCACTTTTCTCTTCATCCCGCTCAGGGAGGCTGCTCAATGTGCTGCTGCGTCTGACTCAGAAACCGCAGCTGCTCTGGCGCATGGCTCAAGGCGTGCTCAGCTCACGCTTCTATGTTCCAGCACACACCTCCCCATGCTACTCTACCTCAGAAGTCAAGACTGATTCCACTGTGATCACTTGTGAGAATCTTCTAGATACTGCTTGGGCACCACACGACTCTCAAATCTGATTCCAGCTCAACTCAAGGTGCTACTGCACCACACGGCACTCTGACCTGCTCTAGCTCTCAACCTGTCTCGAAATTCCGCCCAGGAGACAGAAGCAGCCGCCACATGACGCACAGAGCTGCTCTTCCTCCTCCTCCCTCTATCCTTCCTCTCCCTCCCCTCCCACCCCTCACTCCCTCTACCAAGCCTGCCCCAGTGCTTCGCCACTGCTCTGTGATTTGAAAACACCCCAACCCGCCGCCTCTTTTGCGCCTGTGTGCAATGAGCCAATTTCGGATCCGACACACCGCCCCGCCTCCCCACCGAGTGTCTCCCATCATCACAGGTGCCCCTCTGCCCCTCGCCAAGATTCTCCCCCCGAGGCACCTCAAAAGCCCTCGCTTCCTCTGCTTGTCTCTCAGTGTCACCGGCGCCCCTACGCACCTCGCCGAAATTCTTCCCCTGTGTTGCCACTCTCTCGTCCCTCCTCCCCATGTGTCCCTCGCCCTGACCCACGCTATATTCTAACGTGCCGCCCACAGGGATCCGCACAGGAGCGCGCAGAAGCTCCGGGCAGCTTTTCTCTGGTTGACACTCATGCCGTCCACTGGCGATGTGCAGGAGCGGCGGGCCGTACAGAATTTGCCACGTGCGGTGAGCGTCGAGAACCACCGCCTTCGCCTTCCAGGAAGCTTCCTCCTGCCAGCTGTCACGCCTGCCGTCGCCGCCGCTGTAGCAGCAGCAGCGCTCGTTCGGATCATCTCCAGGCGATGTTTGCACTGCGCAGTCGCCTGCTGACGTCACAGCTGTGCAGCAGCCTGCTGACGTCAGCATTGTTCCTGGGAAGGGGACTGTGAATTGTGCTGCTTCGGCCCACCTGCAGACAGCAGGAAGCAGCTTCCAGGAAGCTTCCTCGAGTTTCCCTGCAACGATAAGCGGGTCGTCTGCAGCTATCACGAGCAGCTTCCACGAAACCTCCAACCCTGAATCAGCCGCACACTCATTCTTCTCACCCATTTCCTCCTCCTCCTCATTATCTCCTCTCGCTCCTCCACCCGACAATCCCCCACTCGCTCTCCCCGCCCATACCCCCGCGCCTCCTCCGCGCAGTCTGACGGGCAGCGCCAGCAGCGGAACAACGGGGTACACCTCTCCGCAGTGCCTCCGCCTGGCCCCCACCTCCACGGCTTCCAATGGCGCATCGCCGAGAATTTCCGGGAACGTCTCGTTTGAACGGCCAGTATAAACTAACTCGGGGTCCGTGCTACAGGGTTTCAGCTCCGCGGCACGCGGCGGACTCGCCGAAACGGCTCGGAGCACACACGTCTGTGGGATGATCCCAAGGTTCCACGGACACGGTTGCGCGGCAGACGCGGAAAGCCGCGATCCGGACGGGCATCCTTCACGCGAGCGCGAGTCGGAAGGTGCGGACGTGCAGACGAATGTGAATGCGGCGGTTGACGTTGTCGTTGACGTCGACGTTGAAGTTGATGCTGTCGGCGGTGAGAATAACCCGCGGCTGCTTCCAAAGAGGGATGTGGTAGCGCTAGGAATGAGCGTTTCGCTGAACGAGCGTGGTAGTGAGGCTGGCTGCAGTGAGAATGAAGCAGGCGACACAGAAACCGACGGGTTGTTGCCGGTAGCATTTGCGGCTGTAAGAGGAAGCGACGTGGACCGCAGGAGGGAAGTTTCAGCCACGCAATTGGAGAAAATGGGCACGTCGTGCCAGATCGATGCCACGTCATGGCACGATCCAACCAACTTCGGCATGAGGTTAGTGGCCGCAGCCGCGCCGGCGGCGGCAGCCAGTGGCGACGCTGCGCTGAGATTAGGACTCGGAACGATATATTCTCTGGGAGGCGCGCTCGAACTTCGAGGCGCGCTCGAACTTCGAGGCGCGCTTGAACTTCGAGGCGCGATTGAAGTACAGCTCACAAGAGCACAAGGGGGTTCGCTGAAATTAGGGCTTGGAAAAGAGTGCTCTAAAATTCTGGTGCTTGTTGCTGGTGGAGCGGTGGGGACTGAGCTCGAAAAGCGACGCGGCGTCTTCCTTGCTGCGCGCGGTGCGGCAGAGTTTTTCGACGGACCGCGGAGGAGTTTCGATTTCCTGACACTGCTTTTACTACTGCTGCTGCTGCTTCTGCTGCTGCTGCCGCTACTGTCGCTGCCGCTGATGCTGATGCTGCTGCTGCCGCTGCTGCTGCCGCTGCTGCTGAAAGTGCTGCTGCACTTTTCGTTTTTCCTGCCGCCATAGTTTCGGTCGCAACCTTTGGCAATGGATACTATTCGCCGTAGTATGGCCCTTAGCGCCATTCGCGGGCGTCTGGTGTTAGCGTTTGAAGCTCCCCCACGCATGAATCACCCCGTATCAGAGTGTGTGACGTGGCGCAATAGAGAACTAGTAGCCATTGGCCGGCCCTCATCGGCGTGAGTCAGGTAAGCATTTTCGAGACACGAGACAAGAAGTAGGCCAGGCCGCCCACCAGCGTAAAAAGAGTTTAGCTTCATCTCCCGTTGCTCGCTGGCGGTATTAACGCGCGGCGCAACGGTTGCACCGGTGAAGTGTCGGTGGAACTGGGATAGCTCGAAAGCTAGGTTACGAGAGGCGAAAGTGGCAGCAGAGAAGCAAAAACAGAATTGTGACGCCGCTTCCACAGACGAAGAGGTTGCTCGCGTTTGCCTGGTTTCAACTTTCCGTCAACTTTCCGTCAACTTTCGCGTCCAACTTTCCGTCAACAAAAGCCCGTTTTGTCTAAGTGGCGCTGTTCTGCAGGCGTTAAATTTCGAAAATCTTGGTCCGCTGAATCTTCGCCGATAAGTGGGTTTCTGCCTATCAAGGTTTGGTGATAAGCGAAGTACTGCCAAACCTGTTCGCGCCAAATTTGACGCCTCTGCCAGCAGAACAACACTTTAGGGGCGCAAAATTTTAAACGTTTGCTGGTTCGAAGATGTTGCTTCTTCGGGCAAATGGACGCACAACTAGTGCGGTGCTGATTCTACCTCGGGAGCTAGCATCAACCCCCGCACAAGTTATGCGGGGCAGCAACATCCGCGCAACGCAACCAGCATGAATGCGCCTGGAATATACACGGAAGGCTAACGCGGTCAAATTGGTGCAGAACCCTAAACGCCTGCAGAACAACGCCTGCGGGCAGCTCGAGAGCTCGGAGAAGCTGACGCTGCCCATGTGAAGCTGCGAGGGGGAAGTCCAAGTGCTGGGGGTTGGCAGACGGAAATGTGCATCACGAACGAGCCGCATCTCACCGTGCAAATTCAGACGAACCGCGATTTGGCACCGCCAACAAGTGCTGGCAGGCAACCATGTCAGCCTCTGGTGCTCTTTGGGAAAGAATTCCCCGTCAACACAACAAGAATTCCGCCAACCGGAAATCCTCGTTTGCATGGTAAAAAATAATTCGATATATTTTCTTAGCCTCGTTCAAGTGTCAGAAATACGTTAGATGTTTACAGCAGAAACATCCAGATTGAATGTATGAAGCAGTCAGTTGCCTTCACCAGCCTCCAAAGCTCCCACCCTCCAACGGCTGCTGCAGCTCCTTCCGTCTTCCCTCATAATCTCCATTTGCCCTTTACCGAACCCTAACGGCAGCAGCCGAACCAGCGGCGATCACCGCTGCTTGCACGGGCTGGGAGGCACCAGATAATCCATATACACAGGAACTTCAATCCCTTGCAGATATTCCCCCTTCCCATCACATTCTCTTTCCAATCCCCACTCACCCCTCTGTGACTCAATCCCCACTCACCCCTCTGTGACTCAATCCCCACTCACCCCTCTGTGACTCAATCCCCACTCACCCCTCTGTGACTCAATCCTCACTCACCCCTCTGTGACTCAAAACTGCTGCTGCACCCTCAAGCTAAACTTCTTCCATCATCCCACGCAGCAACATCCCGTATTCTCACCCTCCCCCTTTCCCCATCCTCAGAACAACCAGTCAGCGCACCACCATCCGCCCCTCCCACCATTCCCACACTCTTTCTCCATCATTCCTTCACTCTTTCTCCATCATTCCTTCACACTCTTTCTCCATCATTCCTTCACTCTTTCTCCATCATTCCTTCACTCTTTCTCCATCATTCCTTCACTCTTTCTCCATCATTCCTTCACTCTTTCTCCATCATTCCTTCACTCTTTCTCCATCATTCCTTCACTCTTTCTCCATCATTCCTTCACTCTTTCTCCATCATTCCTTCACACTCTTTCTCCATCATTCCTTCACTCTTTCTCCATCATTCCTTCACACTCTTTCTCCATCATTCCTTCACTCTTTCTCCATCATTCCTTCACACTCTTTCTCCATCATTCCTTCACTCTTTCTCCATCATTCCTTCACACTCTTTCTCCATCATTCCTTCACTCTTTCTCCATCATTCCTTCACTCTTTCTCCATCATTCCTTCACACGATCAGGATTTCAGACGAGTTAACTCCTTCCAGCTCTCCACGTTCTCTCCCATCCCTCGATCTCGGCTCGCGTGGGCTCGCGGGAACGGACCGGGCCAGACTCAGCGTCCTGTTGTGGTTTCGAGCGGTGGAGAGCGGTGCAAGGTTGCCAGTGGAGCGGTTTGGAGAAGTAGAGAGTGGTGCAAGGTTGCGATCGGAGAATGACTTTGGAACAGAGTGACCCGGGGTGGGGGTTGAAACGGTGCCACCAGGCGGGGGTTTGGAAGCAGAGAGAGCAGAGGCGGAGGAGGTAGATGAGATGGGCCAAGGGGGCGAGAGCGGTGAGAGGGGGGAGCGTGGCATGGCGCGACTGCGAGGGCTGGGAGAAGCGAGTGCAGACCGTGTGGCAGGGGAAAGGAGAGAGGAGGCAGCTCTGGTGATGGGCGTTGCGCTGCTTGGCCGCGCAACCACCTGCCCCGTTCTCGCCTCTGCTGGAAGCACAGGGGAATGCCCCTCTGGAAGTGCACCCACTGTGCTCTCGCCTTCCGTAACTGCTGTGACTGCTTGGGCTGCTACGGCTGCTAGGGCGGATTTGCCTGCTGCAGCAGTGTTCTGTCTCGACAGCCGCCAGGGTGCGTCCTTAGCAGCAATAACGGTGAAGCCTTTACCAGATGGTAGGCTCATCGACGGTCGGATCTTCTTCCCCTCGCTGCCCTTCCCTGTGTTGCTGCTGCCCTGTGGTTGATTTGTCTGATCCGATCGGACCTGCTTACTCGTGCTGCTGTGCGTTGCTGCTGCCTTCACCTGCCTCGCTTCCCCTGCTTTGCCCATCGTGTCACCGCTGACGCTTCGCTTGCTGTTGCTCTCACTGTCGCCCTTGCCGCTACCATTGCTGCTGCTCTTACCACTGCTCCTGCTGCCTTTACCATTGCTGTCCTTACCACCAGAACTGCTCTCCTTAGCCCCCTGACACGAGCAGTTCTGCCCACCACCACTACCAGAATGATCTCCTGAAGAGTTGCCACCAGAACACTGGTCGCAAGAAGGGCTGTTAATGTCACCAGGTTCTGACATACGGGCTGCAGCAGCAGCAACGGCCCGAGCCACAGACTGCCTGGGAGCGAGCAGAGCAGCAGCAGCAGCAGCAGCAGCAGCCTCGGCAGCAGTGGAAGCCGCAGCAGCCGCTGCTGCCGCCTCCCTTGGTTGCGAATAGCTCACAGCTGCAGCTGCAGCAGCGGCGGCAGCACCAGCGGCAGCAGTGGCAGCAGACACAGCAGCGGCTACAGCTGATAGTGCTGCTGCATAAGCATCATCAGGGTCCACATGGGATTCCCTCAGAGCCTTCACTAGCAGCTCACTGGCTGTAATTTTCCTGTCCTCCTTATAAGCGTCCTCTGTAGGTGCACTCGTGCCTGAATCGCTCCATCGATTGTAACTTGGCTTGGCAGGAGTTTTGGCAAGAGGCTCGGCACGAGGCTCAGGAAAGCGTTGAGGCTTGGCCCATTCCAGTATGGACAGGTCTTGGCTGGACCCCCACCCGTCCCGAGCCGCGCACCCCCTGACCCCAGGAAACTTCCGCGAAGCTTCCTTTCCCATTCTTTCCACCCATCCTGTGCTCTCTGCTTCGGCCGTCCGGGGCCGTTCGGGCTGCAAGGTGTGAGGGCGCGGCAAAGCGCGCTTAGAAGCGTTGGGAGCATGGCGGGCTGTCTGGGGGGTGGGAGGCCATAGAGTGTTGGGAGCCTCACGGGCGGTCTGAGGGGTGGGCGGCCAGTGAGCCTTGGGAGCCTCACGACAGCTGCCAAGCGCCAGGTCAGTGCTCTTGGAGAATTCGGATGGAATGATGATGCTGTACCGGAAACTCTTCTTGCCGCCGCCCGCTGCACTGATGCTGCTGCCCGCTGCGTCGCTGCTGCCGCCCTCCTGCACCTTCCTGCCCGCTTCCTCACCCTCCTCTTTCATTTCCTCCTCCTGCCCAACCCTCAGTTCCTTCTCCCCCTCCCCATCCACACACTCATGTCGCGTCTCTGCTCTCTCTCTGACTGACCATTGCTCCTCCTCCTCCAATTCCTCATTCCCTTGAGTCGCCTCCTCTTCCGCTTTCCCTCCCTCCTCTTCCACTTGACCCTTCTCACCCGCTTTCCTGACCGGTGCCGGAACTTTTAAGCGCGGTAGCAAGCGGGCTATAGCTCGAACTTTCCCAGTCCTTTCCATCCATAAATTCCTCCCTTTGCTCTTAAGTGTGCCTGTGTTACCATTAACTTTACCTTCGCTACTATTGCTGCTGTTACTGTCAACCCTGCTATTGTTAGCATTATCTAGGCCGTCGCAGCTGCGTGGTAACTCCAGTCCTGAGCTGCTCCGAACAATATCGCCGCTCATAAGATTCGCGCTCCTATCAATCACATATGCATTTGTGTTTTCCTTAGCAATAGCGTTCGCATAAATAGCAGCTGCTTCTCTGTAGTCGCTTTTATTTATGGTTGCAACGGTATGACTTCTCACCAGCTCCATCGGCCTCGGACTGTCCTCGTCTTCGCTATTGTCACCATAGCCATCAGAACCCTCATCGCCGGGTTCTTCGCCTTCGTTATTCTCACACAAACCAACCAGCCCACCAGCCCCGTTTTTCCCAAACCTGCCGCTTCTCCCCTCTCCCCCGTTTCTCTCCTCCCTCCCCCACCACCGCCCACTAATAGCACCACCGCTTAGACTGATGCCGCTGGTTTTTGCACCGCGTTTCTGCACAGTAAACGATCCGATAGTGGCGCTTCGCTGTAGATCCATGAACATGGGCAGTGGCGCGTCTAGTATTTCGTTCAGCAGCGCCGCTGCAGCTGCTGACGTGGACGAATCGTCCTGCGACGTGCACGTCGAAGCGGGAAGGTTTCGGTCGGGGAGGGGGGAAATGGTGCGGGAGCTGGCGCGGCTTACGCTGGCGGAAGCCGCGCTTGCGGAAGTTGCGCCGGCGAAAGTTGCGCTGGCGGGAAATTTTAAACCGGGGCGTGGAGACGGGAAAACGGAGGAGCGCGGGGAATGAAAGGGGGAAGGTTCGCCGTTGCTGCTCGGAGCGGCATCGAACCGTCGCCAGCTGTCGCCACTAGTGCTGCCGCTGCTGCTGAGGAGACTGCTGCTGCTGCTACCATGTTCGCATAGTAACTCAGGTGGCTCGCAGATTTTCGCACAGCTGCCGCCGCTGCTGCCGTTCCGTTCGCCACCCCACGAACCGCGGCGATAGTGGCCCCTGGCGCTGACCGAAGCGCGGGCAGACGCGGCGGCGGAAGCATTCACGTGAGCGACAGCAGATGCGGCAGCCGCCTCGAGATGGCTACGCCCGTTCGACTCGGTAATTGAGGCGGAGGAGGCGGCGGAAGTTGCGGAAAGCGCGCGCGACCTATTACGAGCAGCTTTCTCCGCTTGCTTTTCAAAACGAGGGATAAGTAACCACACCGAGTTACCACCACTTCCCGCGTCGCCCTTTCGAAGCGCCTTTTCAGAATCTTCCGCAACTTTCCAGTTTGGTTCGCAATATACTCCGTCTGACGCGGCGGGAAAACCGCTGATACTAGTACTACCGATATAGCTGAGCCTTCCGCTTTTTAAACTGGTCGCGAAATTAACCCTACGCTTGCTACTGCTGCCTTTCGCTCCGATATCAGCTGATTCGCTACCGTGCGTCGCGTTGCTGAAGCTGTCGAGGATCTTATCCCGCTCTTGCCACGCTCGCAGCGCGTGCGCCTGCACGTGGCCTCTCCGCTGCAAGGTCGGCCGGCGGAGGGCGCTTCCGAGAACCTTCCACGTGCAGTGCGCCTCGGTGATCACTTCTCGCGCCTTCCGTGCAGCTTCGTCCCACGAGCACGTCAGGTGGGACGAGGAGAGACGGTCGCGCGACGAGTTACTAACAATCGAAGGCGTCGAAACTGCATGGTCGGCAGGGAAAAGGGGAGTGGATACGGGCAAGGGAAAATGGTTAAGGGGAAGAGAAAGGGGCAGGGGAAAGAAGGATCCGACGTTCCACTAAAACTAATATTATCATGTGGCTAGCTTTGTCTTGATATTTGTGGGCAACCAACTCACCCTGTCCGGACGATTCCCTTTGTTGACGTGGCGGTGACGCGAAGCGCGACTCGCGCACCCACCTCCGCACCATCGGCAGAAGCTTCCCCGAAACCACGTCCATCCGTCGGGCAGAAACCAACGGGTCGTCAATCGCGATAACTACCAGCTTCCACGAAACTTCTGAATGCGTCTCGTTGTGAAGCCGCATGGGCAGCGCGAGGAGCGGAAGCACCGGGTACGCTTCCCCGGGTTCGCGCTCCCGCGTGCCGATCTCTACCGCTTCGATCGGCGCGTTGTCGAAAATCACGGGGAACGCCGAGTCGCCGGACTCGCGCCGCGGTGATTCAGGTCCTGCGGAAACTATTGACGGGGACGACGGCGGCGAGTCGTCTGAGCCGTCTGTCCGCACATCTGACGGCTGAGACGCAACCGGAGAGAGAACGCACGTCTGAGGCATGATGCCTAGATTCCATGGGCGCGGCGCGGATTCGTCGGGGCTCAAAGAGCCATCTAGGTCGAGCCGCTGGCAAGGTAAGGCGAGACGCGTCGAGCGGGGAGACAGCGAGTCGGGAGAGAGCGAGCAGGGAGAGGGAGAAAGAAGAAGCGCTTCGCTTTTAAATTGAGAAATACTTTTTCTTCGATGCGAGAGAGTGTTCTGAGTGAAATGACCTCCTCTACGCTTCGCATTGTAATCCGCGCTGGCGGTTTTTGAGGAGGTGCAGACGAAGGTGAACGCGGTAAGCGACACGTAATCATGGGTCGTCCCATAATTCCCGCCAAAATAGTCGCTCTCGGTTTCCGCGGCCGGTGATGGAAATAGCAAGTCGTTGGCACTAGCAGCTAGAAACGGGGATGCTTGTAAACGTGAAGTGGACGATTGCGCCAATTGTGGCGGCACGAGTAGCACGTCGTGCCAGATGGACGCCACGTGTCCAGCCTGGATGAGCGGAAGGAGATCGCCAGCAGGTAGCTTGGGAAAGGGAGGAAATATCATGTCGACAACTGCTGCTGTTACCGCCGTGTCTGCTCTCCCTCGAGATAGGAGCGCCGAGGTAAAAATGGATTCTAGGAAAGAGAGTCTTACGTCTTAGAATCTTAGCTCAATACAATGGGAGGAGGGTGCATGGTGAACGAGAGAGTTCGTGGTGTAGTGAGTGCTTGATGGTCACGTCATAAGGTAACGGTTTTCTTCCTCGGTGTAGGAGGACACATCGTCTGTGCGCAACTCACGGCCAAAGCAGATTGGGGTTGGCCGTCCTTCCACAAAACTTCCTTGGATGACCTCTGAATCTGAATCATTTGAAACTCGATTCCCCGATTATAAAGAAGAGTCATGTCATGTAAACGGTTTTGTAGGTTCTTGTGCGTCAAAATATGGTTCTTCACGGTTACAGAGTGATCTTCCTTAACAGTGTCAACCCAGTGTTAATTTCGGGCACCACCAGCGAAGGAGAAACGACTTCTATCGGTTAATGTACTGTACAGTAGTCCATGACCGAGTCGCGGTCACAGTAGATTCATGCGCTCAGCTCTTCGTCGTTCAGGAAGACATCGAGCAAGTTGCACTGTATGCATGCTTTCAAGCGATGCCCCCCCAACCCAACCCAACTCTGCTCGCGTGCAACGTGGCAGGGCGACAGCCAGAGCGAAAAGATGAGTTCGCTATGGGATGTTCACTATCGCCTCTCCATCGTTACCACCTTCGCGAACCGCGTGATTCTGTGGCAAGGACCCTACACGACACGGGATACATCAGCACAGTGGATTCTGATGGCGACTGCCTTGCCTTCACAGTGGTCAATGTTGCGCTGACTCCACTAGCCCATGCGCCTTGGTTATATCGCGTACAAAAACAAGAGTCGACGGCACTTGTGATGCGTGCCTTCAGGACTGTATTGCACTGTTGACTGCTGTGATGGAGGTCAAGCGGTGTGGCATGGCATCGGATGACTTGGGCAAGAACCCCAGGCCAGATCCTCACCAGAGAGTGATCTTGTGATTGCACTTTGTTGTAGTGTACAGTGAGTTCAGCAAACTGTACTACAATATAAGCGGCTTCAGCCCAACACATTATTACGTTCCCCAACGGATCTCCAAGGCTTGGCATCTAGAATCTCATCTCTACATGCTTATTATGAGTGTGTTTGTGTTTTATGCCAAGTGTAGGATACTACTCATTGCATCAATACCATGCCTACTACAATACTTAAATACTCCTAGGTAGGCAAACACTTGAAGGACAAAATGTTCCATTCTACTCATTCAACTGCCCCATTGATCTAGTTGCACCATAATAATAACTTGAATTACACCATAATAGCTCCAAATCCTTCATAATAACCCCCATAACTTCCATTCCTCCATTATGACCACACACCCATCCAAGGGCCAGTTGGAGCTCCACCTCTACTCTAGTACACCTCTTGATGCACCTCAAAAGACACCCCGTTCACATTTGAGCGCACTTGCTGCTGCGGTGCTTTGTTGCAGCCCACGCTAGGCGGAAGCTTCCTTGAAGGTGCCCTGCCGGCATGCCCTTGTGTGTAACTTCCA